TTGTTTGACAACCTCATAAGGTGGGAGTGACATAACTTTCGAACCAGGTCAGAAGGAGCGATGTGGGGCGTGGGGGGCGGGAAAGGGCCGACACTTCGGTTTGGATCCTCCTTACTGACTCGGACGCTCGTGGGTACACACGGAGAGACACAATCTGTCGTTGACCTTTCGACTTTTCACCGAGCTGTAGAAGAAGTGGGACAGGGGGCGACGGGGAGGTAGACTTCTTTTTTCACAAAAGAACGAAGAGGCGGAAAGGAGGAGACGGAGACGGGGGGGGAGAGAAGTCCAGTAGTTTCCATCAACTTCTTTTTGGACTTTTTTTTGTGGTGGTGGGTTGCCGTCCCGCTCCAGGAAGTTTTTCTTTGGGCCACGAGCCGACTTGAAATAAAAATATCTGAAGTTGGTCTTGCTCTTGTATTTGGATGTAAAGAAGTCGATGTGGCAGAATCGCCGAGGTCTTTCCTGGAAGTCCTAGATTTTTTCCCCTTTCTTTCTCAACTGCAGGGCTTCACAATTATTGATTTGTCCTGTCTACCGTTTTGACATATTAGCACACCGATCCTCACGTAGCCGGCAGACGAGTAAGTTCCTTTCAGACGTGCGCGTGCAGTGTTATCCTTAGTGTGACGCCCTGAAGTCTTCTCAGCGCAAGAGGAAAGAGATGGCGTGGACATACATAATAAGCGATCCCTGTACAATGATACTGCAGTAATGCAGTTCCATTAGGTAGAAGATCAGCAGCCAGATTACTGTATTTCTGTCCCGACTCCCGAGTGTAACTCGTTGTCGTTCCGATTGACATTTCCTCCCCTTCGGGCGCTGCAGTCGGACAAGTTTCTTTGGCTTTCCAGTTCAGGGAACTCTAATTAACCGAGCAATTTACGCCCAGTATTTTTCAGGCAGGTAAATATTCTAGTTTATAGCAAATATTCGTACTGGCCCATAAGAACGTTATTGGCTGGAGTTCGGGTAGCATATGCTTATTCAGAGTTTTAGGGAAAGAAAACAAAGCGACATTTCGCTTTTGAGAGGTGGCACAGATAAAGTAAAGCCCACTTTTCCAGTGTACCTTTCTCTGTAAACTTTGGTGCATCCACACTCCAAAGCATAAATGCTGACCAGGGTGCTGAGCGCTTGGAGAGAAGTTCGTGGATTCGGGAAAAAGTCTTTTGGTCTCCTCTGGTATGTTTACCTACGCTGCCAGCCTTAGAGTGAAAGTATCTAATCGCCATAAGAATCGAATGAATGAAAAAAAGAAACGACAATTAAAGAAAGTCAGAAAGAAATAATTTTCTCCAGTATGGAGGCGTCCCCTGTACACACTTTTTGCTTACGTGGGAAAGGTGGATTGAATCCAGTTGTAAGCCGCCAGGAGAGTAGAACTGCTGAATCCAGGGGATTTGGTAAACCACACTTAATAAGGTCCACGGTTTCAGTGGGTCTACTCCAGTTGGAATTAAAATTCCATTCTGTTTTCTCAGCACACACACACAATTTTGAAAGACTTTGAAAGACGTCAAAACTGTTGTGATAACATCGGACTCCTTTGGAGCAACAAGCGGGGGTGGGTGAGAAAGAGGCACACTAATCAGGCAGGCGGACTACACAACTAGACGAGGTCTGAGAGGGGACAAAGCAAGAAGGTGAATTTTTTTTGCTTCGGATCCAGAAGGAATCGCTGCCCAGGGTGCAGGAACACTGTGTTGGTTGCGCAATAGGACAAAAGTCGGAGCAGCGCCTTCTCGGTCCCCGTGGGAGGGAATAGCAGCAAAAACCTGCCAGGCGAGTAGAAGCTGCTCTTTCTTGGTCCTGGTTTGTTGTCTTACTAATATCCCTTGGCAGTTTTTGAGAAGAAGGAGCGAGGAATGATAGCGCTGCCAATAACGACCGCAGCAAGAGACTGGCAACAAATACAAGTTCACGTTCATTAGCCTTGATCTCTTCTTGCTTAACTTGCTACCAACCACTCGTAATCCACTGTACAGGCCCGCAAGTGAAACTGACAAAAGGTCAGGCAGTTCATTTCGCCATCAAAGACCCAGTTCCTGTTTATTTCCAGGAAGTGTGAACCAGCCTGTAATTAGGATGTGGTTACTATGAGTACCCTTTTTAAGAAAAGAAAAGAAAAGAGAAAAAAAGAAAGAAAAGAAAAGAAGAGAGATCCTTTTCAAGAAAAGAAAAGAAAAGAGAAAGAAAAGAAAGAAAAGAAAAGAAGAGAGAGAGAAAAAGAAAATATTGTTTTTTTTCCTCATCTGAAATCTATCTTTTTTTTCATTTCTTTTTCTTGCCCTATTTAATTCCACATAGTTCGGAAATCTTTTTCAAGCCAAAATGAAATTGGTATTCCAGCAATAATACCAAGATCGGAATAATATACCAGTCCTCACACCCACACAATCGGATTTCCAGCCCTGCCCTTGCTTCCTTGGATTTATGCGTTCTGTGATTGCAGCCTTTGACTACAGTATAACTTTATTGCATTCCTGCACACTAAAAATGCGGGCACAAAATAGGGGCGAATGATCCGAAAAAGGTCCAGCCAGAGTCAATTTGTTTCTTACGAAAAAGACACCCTTTCCTCTACCGCCCTCAATCTCAAATCAGTGGAGCTCAGAATGACTGGATGGCGGCTGGATCGTGCCCTGTCATGTGGATTTGAGCGCTGGAATGGGTCGTTTGGTCTTCCAAGATCCCTGGAAGCTGCAAAGAACCGTCTGATACCTTTCCACCCTAGATGGGACGCCCATTCTACCGCAGTAGCTTGTACTCTCGGCCAAAACTTGAGATCTGTATTTCGGTGGGTTTTTTTCCTTTAAAAAAATCGAATAAAATAAAATATAAAAATATTTAAAAATCGGGTAATAATAAGATCATTTTGTGAGGTGTGTCGAGAAATGTTGGATTGCCCTGGGACAGGATACTGCGAGGGGGGAATCAAAATAATGACCTCACAAAGCAAACCCGCTTTCTCAAGTGGGGGGGGGGAATTCTTTCTTCTTTTCATATTTGCGCAAAACTTTTTTTTGGCTAGGAGTCGGCTGAGAAATTCCAGATGATGAGCCAAGTTCTCTGGATGGATTCCTGGGGGATGGTCCTCGCCAATAAGAAGGGCAAATCGTGATGACCTGTGGGCTGAAGTAAGCGAAGAAAGGGCGGCGATGAGGAGGAGATTGCCGGAAAACGCGTTGACTAAAGGGACCTGGGCGATTTGAAAATGCGCCAAACGCCAACTTCGTGGCGCCCTTTCCATAACATAACCGCCACACCTTTTCGGAATTATTTTCCTATCCCTCCCTCTTGGCACTTAGCCAACCTGTGTGTGTGTGTGTGTGTGTGTGTGTGTGTGTGTGTGTGTGCAGGTGACATCATATGTACATTACATTTTCCATTTGCAAATGGCGCGGGCGGCATCAGCATAAACAATTTTTCAGCTGGATCTGGGTACCCAGGGAATGGGCTCATGGGCTTCCTGCAAAATGAAGAAAGGACGGGAGGGAGTTACGACCTGCGTTTGGAAAAGAAATGCTCTCTCTCGGGCGCGCACCCCCCCCTCCAGCCCGTCCCGCCGTATGCACGGCCAGAAGCTAGGCAGAACCGTTTCCTAACTACACGCTCCCTTCGTTTTTGTGCAACCCACCTCAGCTCAGTTCCTCTCCTGGCCTTTGTTTCTTTTTATCGGAGTCTCAAGCAGAAATAATGGAAATGCAGCACACTCGAAATGGTCTCAGT